CTTAGATTGAAAAAGTTCGAAAAAGGCCTCGTAATTCAGGATTCCAGTATTTCAGTAGATTTTCTCGTTCTCTTCTCTATTATGAACTTAACTGCGTCGAAATTTTGAATCGTAACTCAAAAAATGAGGTTCGAGAACACATCGTGAACAGTGACTCCGGTACGGAATCGGCAGTAGTACCGCACCATTCGATCTAGCAAACAACAATTATCGTAATCCGAAAATTATTTTAAAAAAACAGACTTCATAGAAAGATATGGATCAGAGTAGATGCTAAAAGAGACAAAAACTTTATTTTAAAAAAACAGACTTCATAGAAAGATATGGATCAGAGTAGATGCTAAAAGAGACAAAAACTTTCAAGAATGGCGATTTATGGACAAAACTTTGGTCTCGGACGGCTCAAAAGCAAATGTACAAGTACGGGTTCGAGTCTCGTCCGAGACCGAAGTTTTGTCCATAAATTGCCAATCTTATGAGACTCTCGCTTTGCGTACTGCGGCATTAAAACAGCAGTTAACAAAACATCAAGTCGAGACAAAAATTATTTTCGAAGCCTCAATACCCTGCTTTTCTGAGGAGCATAATCACGAAATTCCGTTACCAATTCGAAGTTGCAAAGGCAGTACGATTTTAGTATTAGAAGGCTAATCTGAGCAGATCTGAGGTGAATTTCTTAGGTTGACTATGAAAGCCCACCCTTGAGAGTAAGAATAATCTGTGGTGACCCTCGAAATGGCCAGGGAGTTCGGTCCTGTTGGTTCCCGTCTACGTCCAGGTGAGGGGATGAGCGGGGAGAGATTTGTTTGACTTGACTAAGGAAGTAGCGGTACCAACAAAATGAGTTCCGAGAAGTGCTTCCAACAGGAAAGCTAATTGTTCGAAGAAATGAGTTGTACATATAAGCAGTTTTTCTGTCAGTTTGAGTTCTTTTCAATGCGAAAATATATGGGAAGCGCCATCCTGTCAAGGCACTTTCCCCACTTTGCTCTGCTGGCGCCTATTTTCAGGCCTTCTCCTGATGCACTTAGGTTCGCTTAGCCACTATCCGGCTCTTGCATTAAAAATCAGACCTTCGATCTTGAGAAACCGATATATAGAGTATCAGGAAACTTTACTGCAGCAATTTTCAGGAAAATGTGGCTTTTCAACCGAAAAAAACCCGCAATTCCAAGAAGGAAACAAAGTTAGAGGTGGTTAATGGAACCGAACGACGTTCCCGCAGGAGGATCACGCGGAAAAGTTGAAAATCCGATCAGGAATAGTTGAAGAGATAGCGGTGGACGAGTCAGAAATATGAATTTGCTACGGGCTCAAGCAGGAATTCAGCGGTGCCTGATCACAGTGCACAACGTAGCCGGTCATAATCACGGATTACTGCGTGCAATCTGTTCAACGGGGCCCAGTTCAAACAGAAGAAACTGGGCGAAGGCAAGTCTGAGCGAAGAACGAGAGATTACCCTTCAGTGCTTGTGCATACATACTATGAAACAAGCTTTTCTCAGGTTGTTCTCGACAACCTCGACCTCGAAAACAGTCCGCAGTTGAGGGCAAGTAAAGGGTAAACACAAAATGCACCAAATCGTTTACCTCATGCTCATCTTAAAGGCATAAATCACAATCAGATTGAAGATTTTCTGCTGATCGTGAAGAGAAACTTTGTCCCTGGAGGTTGCATATTTTTACGTACCTTTGTTTGGGTTATTGGTCCAGTAATGAAGAAAGCGAGACAACCCGCAGATATTCCAAAATACGAGGACTCTTCAGAAGTAATTTTCTCTAAGGTTAAATGACCGTTACGATGACAAAGGGGGTGTTGGAGAGATTTCATTCGCTGCAGAAAAACGAGTGTTACCTAACGATGTATAGTATGTAGCTGACTGCATTTACAACAAACGTGCTCTATTCCGAATTACAGTAGTCTTTGCAAGACCACTAAACACGTCCTTGTACGGGAGTGTAGACAGGCAGAGGAATCCGGGACAGGTTTTTGAGCCTTGCCCGCCCTACCCAGACGGCTTCTCGGCCCCACCAGCCTCAGGGAGCTTCTCGAGGCTTGCAAACCTACCTAAGGATTACGAGATACTTAAAACTATTTCCATTCAAACTGTGTACAAAGCTACTATTTCGTCCTCTCTCTCAAGACTAGCAAAGCCACGAAAATGATATTCCTGCTCATTTAGCCTTTAAATTAACTTTTAGCCCTCGGAATGATTAAAGGGTCGATTCTAGAGCGCAGAATCAAGTTTCAATAAATCACCTAGACGTCAGAGCATGTCCCACAACATTGACAAATCAATGACCAGTTTAGCAAAATGTGACTTTGCATCTCTTTAGACGAACCTTGCCGAGGGAAGTACGTCGGAGAAACAGTTGTCGTATGCATAAATTGGGAGGCGGTCTCGAACCGGATCCTTTGAAATAGACTTTATACCTTAACGACCTAACAACTTCGGAAAAATTTGCCCAAATGGTCTATGCCCACCGAGTTCATGCAGATCTTATGTGGTCTCGAATTCGATTAGAGTCGTGGATACGTTTGGTTGAGTGATCCCAAATTGTGTTGATTCTATCAAGCTATGAGGGAAATAATCCGTCCAGAAAGTCTGCCACTATACTTTGTTTACGAAATTCGTAAAAACTTCAATCATGCTTGAATCTATTGATAAGAAGGATTGTCGTTCAGCAGGCCTTCATAAGCCGTCGCTAAAGCAAAAGGCACACAAAGGTCTTTGCGATACTCAACGGAAGTCAATTCAGTGGCGCATGCCATGACAACGACTTCGACCGGTCATCTCCCATGGACTTGATTTCTTAGCTGTCGACATTTTCAATTCAAATTCAATTTTCTACATCCAGTAGTTTACCTATGCTCGAAGAACTAGTTAGAATGACCTGGTTAGTTATATTATTAAATATAAGAAAATAAATAACGAAAACAAAGCGAATAAACAAGTAAATAACTACGAAGTCCACTTGGAATCCCGATCCTGCAGGGCTTTCAGGAATTTTCGGACGATTTCACTCATTTCGAAATTATTCCCGGTAAAAATCAGATCCAAAATTTAATACAACCTTCTAAATAGAACCAGACGAAAACTCAATTTCAAAAATTCAACATAGAACATACTTGTGGCAGCCTCTTGGAGATACCGAACTGTCAAAGAGCCACTGGTTCCTCATCCTAATGGCACGTACCCTGAAACTTCTGAGCCTTCAGTCTGAGCCTCTATTTTTTCCCCTACAAAAACCAACTATTCACAACTTCCCAGCAGAAGTGGAGCAGTAGTGGTAAGCCACGGCTCGGACAACTCGGATATTAGATCAAATGTACAACCCAACTTGCAAAATAAAATTATTTACGTCATGTTCAAGTGATTAGCATAGAATAGTACAGCCACGAAAAAAAAAACAATCTAGAAGCCACAAAAATTTTTTAAGTTCTAAAAAATCAAAATCTCATATAGAAACGGCACCGAGTTCAGAGTTAATAAAACGGTCAAATACAATACATGCAGTTGGAGACAAAAAAGCAATGGACTCAGGGATAAAAAGCAATCTTCCGCATACGCTACCCCGCTTTTCTAAATTGTAATTTTAAGTACAATTAATATCACATCCTATGCTTACAGTATCGACATTCTGTAATGGAAAAATGGCCTTTGGACTGTTCCCAACGAAGATTTCGTCCTTAAATAGCTTCTATGACTCTCCTCAAACTTCAAGCTCGTAAAAATGAGGCATTACAGAGTACAGCACTTACAGTCAGTCGTCTTTGAACTCACATCTTATCACAACCATCACAAGCAGTAGAATACATGAAGGGTACATACAAAAAGGAGGGCAGACAAAAAGAAAAAAAGAAAAAGAACACAGAAAGCAAGTGAAATTATCAGAGGTCCTTAGCGTGCAAGATAGATTGTCAGCCCAATGATAAGGAAAAGAATCACCACGAACGCGAAAAGAAGCATTTTCTTCTGACGCGCTTTCTGATTATAATACACTGCTTGTTGAATATTTGTGGCACCCTGCAAGTAAATTCTTTAAAGATTAAGAAGAGCAAAGGAAAGAAGGAGCAAAAGAAAATGCAATTCAACACTGACGCCGCATTTACGGCCACAATTGAATTAGAGCTTCTGTTTCATAAAAACCCAATCCATCAACTATACCCAAGCTCGCAAACAGATATTTTGACTCATTAGTCTAAATATTGATAAGGACTTCTACTTCTTATCTACTCCTGGAGTGCCTTATGAAAACGTAACGAAGGTTCAGTTTAACGATCATTGACAACTTTATGGGGGTCTTATTCTAAGCCACTGAGGCAAGTTGCTGCCACATACAAACAAACAAACAAACAAACAGGCTGTAACAGCCGAGGGTGGCCTACAAAAAATAATGGACAGCAGCCATTCGATATTGGTAGATAGGACTGGTAGATTGGAAGCGCATAAGAAAGCGATTACAAGGTCCATGCAGGTTTCGGTCTAGCGGGGTTGAATAGGCGGCAAGTATTCATTGGCCCGGTTGAGGAAATTATTTGAAGTCGGCAAAATAGAAAGACGTTTCGAGAAATAACAAACATCAACGCCCTATCTGCACTTTCTGTCCAGAACTCCCCGAACTCCGTGAGGATTGACAGTTCTGACACTGTTCGTCATTTCGCACAAAATTGGCGAAGTAGTATGCCCTTTGATGCCACAGTCACAGGATAATTCTTTTCCTATTGTACGAAAGGTGAGACTTCCAAACAAATCGAAAGTGTTATACACAAACTTCCAAGAAACTAGGTTCAATACCACCGTCTGAAAACCAGAAAACTTGTTGGAAAATTCTATAGGAAAAATTTGTGGAAATTCCTGATAAGCAAAACGACTTGAATACTGTATGCATTTGGCTAACTGCATTCATTTTATGTCTGCACTGATGTCGTAAAGTCAATGAAACGAAACTCCATGCTAAGTGATCCCTCCCTCTCCTGGATAATCGACCGTAGCGACCTCATCTCCTCAAAACTCACAAATAACCCACCGACTTCGATTGATCCATTCAAACGCTCTCCAGAGATAAAGAGTATGGATAAAAGAGGGTGCCCTCACAATTGAACCGCTCAAAACTTAGCGGCCATTCCTATCAANATAATGGCATTATAGTAGCGAAAACACGAGCGACTTTATGAAACAAAAAAGCCCTTTGTTACCTACATCTAACAACAGTGTCCCACAGTAAATTAGTTCGCTTTTAACGTTTTGCAAATGTTACGGGAAAGAAGAATAAAAAGAAAGTAGCAGCACTGCTGCTTTCTTTTGATGCTTGATGTCGCATTCTTCGAATCAGTTCTGCTTCACTTACTCTACGACCGCGTATGCTGTTATGTTACCGCAAATGTTGCCTTTAGAAGGTTAAAGGCACTGCTCCCATGATCTCATAAACTAGTTACCAACCGAATGACTCCCTCAGCAGACTATACTTTCTCGAACGCGATGATTCAAACATGAAAATGGCTTCGGAACTGGTTTCTTTAGCACTCTAGGTTTGACCAAAAATTTTATAAAATTTTTCTACGTAAGAGAAAATTTGTTGATGAGACGTTTCGATGACTGAAAAAAAACTTACAGATATCTGAATTAGTCAACACTCCCCATCCCCC